GCAAACAATCATATAACAGAAAAAGAAACTAGTTACCCAAAAATCGCTGACGGCAACAATCATATAAACCAACAAAAAAAAAAAAGTGGAGCTGGGTTCTGGGTTCGGTGGAACCCAGTTGCTGGGTTCCCCCGAACCCCCAGCAACTGGGTTCGATGGAACCCAGTGCTGGGTTCCCCCGAACCCAGTTGCTGGGTTCCACCCAGTTGCTGGGTTCGATGGAACCCAGCCTGGGTTCCACCGAACCCAGCAGAGGGTTCAGTGACCCGAGGAAGAAAGAAGAGAAGAAAGAAAAAAGAAAAAGAGAAAGGAGAAAAATGAACAATTATGAACAATTATATTAGTTTATTTTTTAAAAATATAAATAATAATAATAATGTGAGGTGGCATGTGAGGTGGCACGACACATCAACCTGTTTTGAATTTGCTTTTGCCACGTCATCAAAAAAATAATAAAAAATGTCACGTGAGCGAGTTAACGGTCCAATTTAACAGAAGGACTAACGGAGTGCATTTCGTATAATTGAGGGATCAAAAAAGTGCAAAAAATTGTTAAGGGACCAAAAATGTGCAACTCACTAAAGTTGAGGGACCAAATCTAGCATTTAACCTTTAAAGTTCATTGTCATTTAAAAACATCTGGTACATTCTGAGATTATCTTTACGGTGAAGTACCCAAAAGTACTAAATTTAAATCACGAAATTGATAAAAAAAAATTTGTTTAAAAAGATATATTATTTTTTATTTGTATAATTTATCATCACCTATAGTATTTTAACAAAAAGAAGTTGAATTTTTTTACATCTAAAATATATAAGAATTGATAATTTTTCTCTTTTATAAATACTTTCTTATTGAAAGATTTAAAATTAAGAATTTGTTTAGTAACATTGTTTTTTATTTTTGGTATTACTTGTAAAAATTTTAAAAATCAACATTTACATTTGAAAGTTAAAAAATTCGACGAATTCATTAAAAATTACATTGTTGTAATAAATTTATGAAAAAGATAAAATGAAAGCACTTTTAATAAATAAATATTTTCCTTCCAAACAGGACCTATGTGTAGTTATGATTATACATAATAGTGTTTAGATCACATAATATTGATTTTGAACCTATTAGTTTTGTTTAATTA